TTTTAAACAACTACGATTACATTTGCAAAAATCACCTAATTAGCGCCCCTCGGTGTCACTTTGTATGGGAGCGAGCTGTCAGTTTGTCAGTTTAGTGTCAAACAGTGAAGTTATTATTTTGCTTTAAATCATGATTTAAAAATCGAGATGAAAGTGCGTGGGGTTGAAAAAAATATCGCTGTGCCCAGAAAACGAAGCTCTTTCAGATGATATATAAAAACCGATATATTTTTCAAAATTAAAGAACCCAATTGACATATGACAACGATGGTTTGCTGATGTTAGCAACCAAATTCACATGTGGAAAAATCAATGAACATAAACAGGTGAGGCCCAGTCAATTTGTCGTCTCTTTCGACCTTCTACAGCAGAAAAGGTAACCACTGAAGAAATGGTTTTAACCAAAAACTAATTGCCGTTATCCTACAAGTTCGTCAAAGTACAAGGCCTTGGAAATATTTATCTAGGTTCAAGATCCCTAGACTAAAACCGAAGACAACATATCAAGAAGACTGGCAACTCTTCCATTTGCTCAAACGACCGGTATCACTGAAACAAATCGACATGTACCGTTTATTGGATCCATCTTATAACATAGCAATGTCAGGAGATTTATTCATTCTATGTGATGATTGATAGATTCCAATGGATTATCACTTAAAAACTATGACTGCGATATGGAATGATTTCTATCGTAATTTCACATACTTAGTACTTGATAATACTTTGCTTCGAACGTGGTTAGCGATAGGTAAGATGTATATGAATATTGTCTGATATATTTCATGGTGAAAAACTGTTGATATGTCATGGGTGGGAACAGGCATCTAGAAACTAATGGAAAATCATATAAGTTTGCACTATGAGCAAATCGAGTAAAATGTACCTGTTTTCATGATGAATATTGCTCACTAAAAGATATATCATATAAGATAATCATGTATATTTTATTGGAGTTGCTTTTAACGATTTTTGACGTTTGTTGATATGTCGCGTGTAAACAGACATGTAGAAACTATTGGACTGTCATTTAACTTTGCAGTATAGGAAAACATGTATATCTCATTGGAATAGCTTCCTTTGATTTTTGAGGTTTGAATATTGTAAAAAGATCTATCCCAATCATTAAATAGTCATATAGATTTGCCTTTTAAGAAATCCAACAGCAAACATTTGTTTTGGTATGTTTTTCTGGAATGAACATCGCTCCCAATAAAATACATCTTACATAATTGTTCTTTATAAATTATTGAAACAATTTTCAACTATGTCATCGTACACTCATTAGAATGATTAGTCGAACTAAATATTGCTAACAACAATGATACTGTAATAAATAATCATTGTTTGTTATTGTTTCATAAGATAAGGGGTTCCGGAAAAGAATGTTTTGAGATTTAAAAAAAAATTATTCTACTGCAATATTTATTTGCTAAGATTCTAATTGTAAGCCTTCTACACGGCTAATTCAGATTCCAGCACTAGTACTCGAACTTCATGAACCAGTTCCATGAACTCATATAATGTAGTCGTTGTTTTATTGCACACAGGAGCATTAATTATGATTTGAATACACGACACCACCGAAACGGAGCATATATTGGTCAGTGCTATTTTTCTTCACTCTAGCAAAACGAGCATAACGTTGCTCTATATTCCATGTTGGGAGAGCTGTTATTACTTCATGCTAATTGAACGAGCTCAATATTGAAGTCAGCCGTGGCCCAATGGAATCGAGCGCAGACACGAAAAGCATCACAGCTCAACAGTTCTGGATCGAATCCCAAATCAACTACAATAAAAAAACACAACTGTGAAAGCTCCCACTGCCTGGTGTTTATTTTTCGATTTATTTTTAGAAATCGATTAAATATATGTGTCAAAAGAATAAGTAAATTTCATGTGATTTTCACATAAACTTTACTTCGATTGATTTATGACACATATATTATATTGTGGTGAAAAGTAAAGCTTATGCTTATGGGTTTCAAATCCATTTCAGTTAATTATTATAATTTGACCGATTTTCATTTATCACATGGCGATCATATAAAAGTTTTCAAATTATCAGCATTGTCAATGTATCAGATATTCATATAGAATTTACCTGACACATTTTCAATCATATCATTTTCAATGGATTATCTTATAGCGCAAAATTATTAGACTTCCACATAACAGGAATATGTCAAATTGGTTCAGTGTATGAGACATTGTGCCTCATCTGCCGCTCAAAGGTAAATGCTTCGAACGAATTGGATAGCAAAGGTTCCATCCTCAGAAGAAAGGTTTGTGTATTTGCTCATTTTTCTATGCGTTGCTTCCACCTTCGCTCGAGCGCAGCGCTACCATAGAGGTAACTCTAAGACCAGAAGGTCCCGAAGAAACGAGCTCAACTTTTTGGCTCAGCTCTGGTACTATCTTCGGTCCCAAGCTTATCGATGCACCCCTCGAAACATAGGAAAATACACGAACCCCTCATTTTATCTGTCAAACTTTCATAGCGAATCAAAACAAACATAGTGTAGTACTAGAATTTTGACTAGAATGGAGTACGTTAATCGATTTGCTTGGGTCAAGTAGTGAGCCAATTAAAAATCGTTAGTTTCGTATTGATTGTTGGCGCTACTGTATTTGTCGCTCAGATTCAGGCAAAGTTGCCAGCCTTCTTGATATGTTGTCTTCGCTAAAACACTGTCCAGACTGAGGTCATATAAAACGGTCTTGATGACATTTTTCTTGGCGATCTAAACATTTATGGCTCCAACCGGTATTATCCTCGGATTAATCTTCAGCTGCTTTGATGTCGACGTCAGAGTTAATCAACACAACTCTAAATAAAATTTTGCCGATCATTCGGTGACATTCGGGACGGTATTAAAGGATAATCCGAGTTGGAGCTTACCGCCATTAGTATTGTTTTAGCCGAGCTGGTAATTGTTTGCCGAGATTTAGACAACGAGTACTCGGCAAATAATTTTACTGAGATCTCAGCAAGTAAGACGTTTGTTTGCTGAGATTCAGCAAAACTTTTTCCGAGACTCACCAACCAAACGTTATTTTTACTGAGATCTGAGTAAAATATGTTTACCTGGAGGCTGTGCAAATCTCAACAAAAAAAAATAAGTGTGTAGATATTGAAAAATGTTCCAAGTCCAACATCTAAACAGCATAAAACACGACAAAAAAATATTTTTGATATCGCATCAAACTGATAACTCTAATACCCCGTACAGACTATGGCTTATATCATGTAATATAGGCTGTCTTGCAATGAGCACTCATACATCTAGTTTTCAGTGGAAATCCTATGTATGAGTGCTCATTGCAAGACAGCCTATATTACATGATATAAGCCATAGTCTGTACGGGGTATAAGACTAGTAGGCCCCGAAGAAACGTTCATAATTTTTTGGCTCAGCTCTGGTACTCTCTTCGGTCCCAAGCCAATCGATTCACCCCTCGAAGCATAGGAAAATCCACGAACCCCTCATTTTATCTATCAAACTTTCATAGCGAATCAATACAAACATTGTGTAGTACTAGAATTTCGACTAGAATGGGGTACGTTAATCGATTTGCTAGGGACCAATAGGCTAGTCAAGTAGTGAGCCAATTTAAAATCGTTAGTTTCGTATTGATTGTTGCTTCAATCGTGTAAAAAATAAAGTGTAATATTACTTACAAAAAAGGACAAAATTATCATCAATACAGTCCATGAACCGAGGGGGGCGACACATCTAAATCTCAAGTCTAGATGCTCAACAAATCTCACACTAGTGAATCAATCTTCGAAAAATCTTCTTTCATTTCTCGCATCTACTTGCATCGCACATCACCTTTTTGCAGGAAATCTGCAGAATCGTCATCAATCTTGTTTCTATCTACTCAGCGTGCGCGCAGCTAGCCACAGCACAACAAAATCTTTCCTGCATCGTAGATAGAGTCACCCCCCTCGGCATGAACTGACATTATGCTGCTTTTACTGCATTTGTTTATTTTTGTGGCCATAAAAATTACATGAGATTTGCGACATGATTGAAGCATAGAGGTAACTCTAAGACTAGAAGGTCCCGAAGAAACGTGCTGAACTTTTTGGCTCAGCTCTGGTACTGTCTTCGGTCCCAAGCTAAACGATTCACCCCTCGAAACATAGGAAAATCCACTAACCCCTCATTTTATCTGTCAAACTTTCAGAGCGAATAAAAACAAACATTGTGTAGTACTAGAATTTTGACTAGAATAGGATACGTTAATCGTTTGCTTGGGACCAATAGGCTAGTCAAGTAGTGAGCCAATTTAAAATCGATAGTTTCGTATTGATTGTTGATTGAAGTGCATCCTCTTGGATGTAATATTAAAATTAATTTTTTGCTGTGTATGTCCTGTATGCACATAAACTTCTTTGAATAAAAAATAAAAATCTTCATGCGTGTCAAGTGTCAATGTTCCTGTTCTAGGATAAAAATGTTGAACCGCAGCTAATTCTAGTTTTATTATTTTTAATGTATAACGAACATGATAACTCGGCTCTGTAAGCTTTATTCGATTGAGCCTGTAAAAATAAAGTAACTAACAAAAAAAAAACTTGCGGCAATAATGCCGAAGTCAGGGAGTCCACGGTCCAAAATATGATCAAGCTCGGTATTAGAACAAAACAATTGTCTACAAATAAGCTCGCAGATTTTTTAGAACATCATCAAATTGCGTGTATCAAATCAATCCCATCAGCGTAGCAACATCTCATCTTCCATTTAGCGTAGAAACATCTCATTCCATCTAGACAAGCAAAAAACCTTCCTTTCAACTTCAATTTTACCATCGGTAGAACAGTTAAAAAAATAACAAAACGTTTCGGTGAACACAAGACTGAAATTCTAAAACAAGCGTAGTAAATGTTGTAGACCTGATGCCATTATACGAGTAGAACAAAAAACCAAAATACAAATCTTTGTCTATACACTTCACGAAATAAAACACGATCGTTAGAGTACTCTATACCTGCTTGTGGAACTGTTTTATTGTCTTGTCACATTAACAATTTACGAACTACCTGTTGCAATGTCTACCACATAAATTATGCTTCTTAAACCATCGAATACTGCGTTGCCGTTACCTACCGCTAAGCTTACAGGATACCACCATCGACCAGTTCCAGCAAGATGTCAGTCATCTTCCGCCGGCACAGTTCGTTCGGTGGGACATTCAACTCCGGTGGCGTAGGGGCCGTTTCCAATCCACTGACATACAAATCGGGAGCCTCCTCCGACGAACAGGTACTGATCGGAATCATGTCCATAGCCGAGCCAAGTCCAAACTGGGCATAGCTCTTGAACTCGTCCTGTATCTGCCGCAGCAGGTCCGCTTCATCGGTGCACAGATCTTGCAGCGATCCCAGCACCTTGAGTGACTTCACCAACTGCTGGTGATAGATTTCGAGCCAACTCTGAAGGTTGACCTTCCGGATGGTGGCGTCCGTAAAGCAATAGATTAGATAGGCTAAATCCAGTGCCAGCGATCCGTAACGAATCATCTGGAAGTCAATGAAGCATGTCTGTGGGATTAGAGAAAATTGAAATGATTTTTTGCTCCACAGATTATCACCAATGGCTGACGGCTTACCTCAGTAATCGATCCTTTATCGTCGTATCTAAAAAGAACGTTATTGGTCCAGCAATCTCCGTGACAAATAATCGACAGTTTACTTTCCCGGCTAACCAACTCCACCATGTTCTCGAAACAGTTTTCCAAAAACTCCTTCAGCTTATCCAAATACTCCTTCTTGCCGGGAATAGTCTGCGACACCATCTGGATGGCATTATTCGTCAAAATTTCGTAATAGTGCTTATACCAATCGGCGTTTGCATTGGTAAATATCCCTTCCGAAATTTTCAAAGTCAACTTTTTAAACTCATTCGGATGCTGCAGTTTATAAGACAAACTGACGGCGTGATACTTGGACAGCTCCACCAGTAAAGCCTTCATATGGTCCGTCCCGAGTCCTGCAACCCGGTCCGGCATGGTAAAGTGACGAACCTGCAAATCCTCCAACATTACCAGGTCATTCTGCGCCAAGTAGCACCGGGGGAATGCCAAGAACATCAGACTGCTGTCTTTGGTTTTGCGCTTTTGGAAAGCAATATATTCCGGCATAATGGAATTATAGAATACAACCTCATTCCGGAACAAGGTATCGCTTTTGAATGCTTCACGTTTTATTTTACAAGCCGGAAGTCGCTTGCAGATTACTGTTCGTTCCCAGCGAAGCTTCTTCGATCCATCATTGGGTCGGGTGTAGCCTTTCAGCTTGATCCGGAACAGGGCAGCGGTGTAATTGTCCCCGCGACCGGAGCCTTGGGCCTCCTAGGGGAGAAAAGAGATACATTTGTTTAGTAGTACTTGATTATACGATGGTTAAAGTTAAGCGTGTTCTCCGGCAGAAATTTCCTGCAGAGATGCACCTGTGTACGAAATGTTTATATGGACGTGGAAAACGGAATTTCATCCTTGCTTCATTTCATCAATGGGAAGCGGTATATATTGTTTGACGGAATTAAAAACAATTGTTTCTTATGTAAAATTATTAATTTCAACCCGAATGGTCGATTCTTGGAATGCTTGGATTCATCATATCTCCTTAAAGTGTAAGAACAATAAAATTATATGATGGATGTTGTCAAATGTCCTACAATATGTGTATTTTCACCGTCACTTTCGATTCTAAGATAATATGGCTATTTTCCAGGAAAATAATTTCATACATTATATTACAGCCATTCCATAGCAAAACGGTATAGTGGTTCTAAGAATTTCATAAAAATTTGTAGTTTTGTTCCTTATTGCAAAATATTAGACCCGTATTTTATTTTATTTTGTCATTAGGGTGACCATTTCCATGTTAGGGTGGTCTAAAAAATCATTTTTATTCCAACAATTTATAACTTTTATTTTCAATTATTTATAACTTTTGAACCACAAAGATTTGAACCGGTTTCAAAGATCAGAATTTCAAATGAAAGGTATTTAAATATACTTTTCAGGATAAATATAATGATATTAAAAAAATGGGATTTTGTATTGAAAATTATTGAATGTATTTGTTTTTTATTGTTTTCAAGGTTTGTTGGCAGAGAGCGTAATATCCTTTAAAATTAAGTATTTTTTACATTACATACCAAAAAATCAGTGATGTGTTTTTTTTTGAGCTATATCTAGGGGCAAGACAGCTTTCAATCATGAGTAATTTTTGAGCAAATCTTGAGCAACTCTGAGTTACTCGCGTTGCTCAATAATGAATCTCGTTGTCAAAATGCCATCGCAGCAACTCAGTCAACGAGACATAAATGTGAAATATTTGTCACACATGTTTATTCGTAGAAACGTAGAAAGTTCAAAACAATTTAGTAATCTGCTGATATCTTGTTGTAATTTCCTATTGTTCTGTCGTATCCGTTGATTACTTTGGTTAGCCATATTTAAGGAACAAGTCGCTAGATTTTTTCCACACATCGCAGTCTGTCTCTTCAGTAATAGTGAAGCATCATTTCAAATTCCATTTTGCAAACTGAAAGTATACTCCGAATGTGAATATTCTTTCAGATACGTTATGGAGAATACATATACCTACATTCGTTCAAAAAACAAATAAGTTGTTAAACCATATAAAAAATTATCATTTATTTCTTCATGAGGTACAATGTTTACGATAATGTCGACATGATAAACATATTCGAAAGACGAAAGGATGTGTTTATATGAGTTATAGGTTATTGTCAAAATTCATTTCAAATTCTGAGGTTGTACTGGAACTGTTTCGATATGTGATTATTTCATAGGGATGTGCAGGTGGCTCAATCGGTTTCAGGGCCGTAACTACATGTACATTGGAACAACAAACTTGAACAGGTTTCTCTCCTTATTTACATGTTTGTGTTGACGCTCACTTAAACCAGAATAGTTCTAGATGATCTGGGAAAAAGAAAACTTAACGACGGTATAAGTTATAACACTATGCTTCTCGTTACTACTGAATGTCTAAATAAAAGGATGACGTTGTTTGAACGTAGACAAACGTTTTCAGCATGCATCAGTATCTACACATAATAAAAATGTTTTTCCTAGAGGCTATTATGAAGAAACTTAACTTACTTGAAATTGAAAAAAAAATCTGTTTGGAAAAAGTAAAATTCAAGCTACTTCGTTATTTTTCGAGGAAATACGAGTAACTCACAGCTACTCAATGTAAATATATTAGCTCAGAGTACAGCTGACTTGCCCCTAGAGCTATATATTTTGGAAATTATTAAGTTTAGGGTTTTTGCTCAATACTTCTATGTGACTAGACTATCATATTTAATTGTTGGGAAACCGAATTACCTCCGCGTTCGATATCGTCCAGTGCTCCCCAACACTCGCCGGTAAAATTAGGGAAAACAAAAAGGCAGCTATTCCCAGTGCTGAGTACATGTCTCCCTTGTTCTTCGTGGAAGATCTTTTCATATTTTCACACAAATTAACACGCACCCCGATTTACTAAAACACGGGCAACAAGCACTACATTTATTATAAACAACTAATTAAAACACATTTATTTCTTAAACTCTAGCGTTGTTTTTTTTAGTCCTAACACACGGTCGGTGGTCTGTAGATTTCTACTTTAAACAATATCTACTGGTCATCGTCTAACCACGATCGCTACCCATGCGATGTTTTCGCTCGGATCCATGACAGTGATCGCTCCCGTTCTCGCTCCTGAATTGCCAGTTATCGAACTCACCACTGCAGTCTCTTACAACCACCGACAAACCGACATGAAACTTAAACTTAACTCTTGATCGATAATCCATAACGGCGGATTCAAATGAGCAGCGATCCCATATGTCATCATCCCATATAGAAATTTGTTATCTAGATAAAAATAATTTGCCCGAAATAGATTAGACACAAACCAACTCATACATTTTGTATGCGTGTCTCGATGCGTGTTCGTGGCTAGGATACACATTTTTCGCTAACATGGCGGCAGATGTCAGATGTTGTCACATGTTGTGCTTTGATCAGAAATTTGAAGATACTTTGTATGGTCATTCGTGTCGGTTTGTGGTGTTACAACGACGTATGTATATACCAGCGAAACGATCCAATCCTGCTTGCCTGGTTTGATCGATGACCATCTATCCTCTGCTCAGTGTGTAGATGAGAACACAATAAGCGATGCAGCAACCTCGTTGAAAGTTGGTCACATTTGTGCATAGCCAATCCTTTTCTAATGGGAACGGGAAGGGAAAGGATTTGGGTCTACGCTGACGTCAACGTCGTGGCTAGGCAACAAAGACAGTTTTTCTACTGGACGTTTCATTATACCAGTGTTTGTTTTCAGCGTTACAACACGCACTACTCCATCCTTTCCTAGACGCAGTTCAACCACCGACAAACCGACAAGACACTTAATTCTGACTTATGCCCGAAAATCGTTAACGGCCGATTTAAATGTGCAGTGATCCGAACTGTCAAACCCATAGGATTTTTTTATCTAGATAAAAATAATTTGTCCAGAATAAATCAGACACGAACCAATTCATGTCGGTTCGTCGGTGGTTCAACCTCTACACTCATAAAATTCAACACATTTTTATTGGCGAAATTCCATGTAAAATTCCACATGATTTTCATGTGTCCATACATAAACAGAATCCACTCAGGCTGTGAACCATTTGCCGAGTTAAATTTAACTCGTGGTTAAAAGTGACATTTCGAAAGTTATTTTCTATGTTCGAAAATCCCTGTGCTGTCGATCGACCGGTTTTCGAGCAGAACTTAGGCTGTGAACCATTTGCCGAGTTTAATTTAACTCGTAGTTAAAAGTGACATTTCGAAAGTTATTTCTTATGTTCGAAAATCCCCGTTCTGTCGATCGACAGGTTTTCGAGCCATGGTCGTCAAAATTTAACTTCTTGTCTGTCAGAAATAACCATGCTCGGATAGCAGGGTTAATCAATAACTTTCCATCTGTCAAATTTTAACCAAAAGTTAAAAAAAATCGCCAAATGGTTCAGAGCCTTAGCCAAGGTTGTCAAAATTTAACTTCTTGTCTGTCAGAAGTAACCACGCTCGGATAGCAGGGTTAATCGATAACTTTCCATCTGTCAAATTTTAACCAAAAGTTAAAATAATCCACCAAATGGTTCAGAGCCTCAGAAGTACACTCAAAAAATTCCACACGTCATCATCATGTGTCTCACACTTAATTTTGCGCATATTGTGAAACACATCCATTTCATGTGTGAATCTTATGCTATGAACCATGCCTGAACACTATGGATTTGAATTGTGACACACTTGGATTCTATGTGCCTCATATGGTGATATCAATAGCTTTGCACACCATAGTTCAATATTCTACTTTATCGAATTCTACTTTACCGACTCTAAAAATGAATCGACAAATATAAAAACAAAACTGCCAGAGGCCAGAGCTTTCACATATATTTTTAATGGGTCTGATTTGGGATTCGATTATGGACTGTTGGGGTATGCTGCTGCCGGAGTCTTCGTTCGATCTCACTGTGCCACGGTTGTTCTCATATATGAGGCAGGTTGATAGGATAAAGTCACAACTCTTGTTATCGATGTTTACCTTTCTGAGCAAGCAATTCACATCGTATTGAAATGCAAAACACTTTAAATCCATCTGTTTTGAACAGTAGCGTGATTCAATGTGCAATACACTTAAATAGATAGTGAAAGATTTTCAACATTTCAAAGTTTGAAACACTATAAATTAACGTGTATAACACATTGAACCAAGGTGAAATACATTTAAAGTAAATGTGATTGTGCATTTAGAAAATCAAGTGTTTAAACACTTCGATCAAACGTGTGAAATTTTTTGAGTGTACATATAAAATTGATGAGTCAAATGAATAGTATGTGTGGTTACACATGAATATTATGTGTACACATAAGAACTATGTGTTCGACACATATATATCATTTGTTTATCACATTGCAAAAAATCATGTGTGGGACACATAAAAATAATCATTGAATTTTTATTAGTGTATGGTTCAACGATCCGTCCCATTCGCCACTTCATCGGTGGCAGATTATCGGCTTCCAGCTCTTAGACAAGACATTGATCGAAGTAGATCGTGCTGGAAAATGACGCGTGTTTATTTTGCTGGCGATTTTCATTTTGTGATTTCAACCATTTTAAGCATGTACCTATAAACAAACTTCCGATTGTTCAAACTATTTATGTCCATGGATTTTTTTTTATATCTTTGTTAAGGAGACTTTCAGCCCTGGGCTGGTTCGTCTTCTGATGGAAATTGATCAGACTATGGCCATCCGTGGAGTGGAAA